ATAAAGACACAACGCCAGGGATCACCAAAGAGACTAGAAGATTGAGCTACATTCATTTTTGAGTTATCCTCTTTCCCAGTTACTTGAGCTCATCTCACTATCTAATTGCAGTCCTCCGTGACCATCTTTCCTGCATACTCACATTGTAGATCCAAAACCAACGCTATAAGAAGTTGGAAAGCTCATAAGCCTCAGAAAGAATGATGTGCATTGTCTCTTGTGTTGTGTTGCACATTAGTCTCATTGTCCCAGTGAGTTTTGGGATCTACTCAGAGTTCGTCCTGCCTTAGGAAGGCACATTTAAATCTGGCATGGGAACAGGCTCAACACTGTCAGCCATTCTGGGAAGGTTGGATCCTGGGAAATTATTTCTAGCTACAACTCTACGAGACCTTTATGTAAAAGCAGAAGGTAACTCATTAAATTATAATCTCTGCCCCCTACCCAACCAGATCCCTCTGTCTAGAAATGGATATCTGGGAAGCTGTTATCAAAGATTTTGAGCAACATGGTGCCGTGCTGAACCTAATGCTTCATTGGGAAGCTGCCCAGTTCAAAAACTCAGAGCAACAAATGAGACATACGATTTTATTCTTTGTCTTACACAGGGAGAGTCCCGTGTGGTCGTGGGCTGGGCAGGAAGCCACAGCAGCTTGCAAATAACAATGTAGTTTAGCCTAGCATTTTCACTTAAAGCCTTCCCACTGAACAACCTCCTGGAAACCTTCATTTAACCCAAAACTCCGGGGCCTCAGTCCTGGTATGGCCGTGTTCCATAGAGAAGAGCCAGGGCTCAGATGTTTTCGTAGGTAGAGAGGAAACAAATCTCAGGAGCTGAAAGCCACCCCTGAGTTCCCTAGCTTGAACAAACGTTCATATGCATCTGCCATGGGGTCATTGTAGTATACTGAAATTATTGCTGTTGGATATTGTTTACCCTACCCATGGAATTAGAATAATAACAAAACAGGAAGCTTTAAAGTTTATTTCATAAGGTAAAGTGAAATGAAACTCTTTCCTAATCTGGAAAATGTGTCTTTCGCAACCCAGAATATCGAACTCCAGACAGTGACATATCCCATTTGAGCCTTTTTGAATGAGATAAATGTATCCTCTTTCTTGCCCATTTTCATAACCACATTTTAGCTTGAAGGTTTGTTGGCATGATTTATCAGCCCACTTTTTATTTAAATCTAAGTAACATAGTAACTGAATCAAAAAGAAATTACTTTCTTAGTTGACCTTTAAACTTCACAACACTTTAATTTTGACTTGACATAGCTTTTATCCTTTTCAATTTCAGTGGCAAAGATTCATGTATTATGTCTATTACATAACTAAATGAGTTGGCACCGAATATTTATGACAATATGCCTTATTGAACTAAACCTTTTCGAGTTTATAATCAGCACGGAAAAAAATGTTTGAGAAGCTCACAATAAATGTCAGGGACAAATGTGAAAGTCTATGTCATTTTGAGATAATAATGCCTTTAAGCAATGATAATTTGCATTGTGACTTACAATCACAAGAATTTTTTTCCTTATTATGGGATAACCTCTTGAATGTCACCACCACAATTAATCAACTTCTGCCAGAGCTTCACATAGTAGCACTTTTGGTTTCAGCAAGGCGAATCCATGATGAAGGCCTTTTCTCAAAGCTCCACCTGGCTCTGGGAGGACCTTCACCACACACCACAGGCAGAAATACCCACATAAGTCCCTTTGGTTCATAACTTCTTGGCTCATTTCTGCAAGATTCACCTACCCTTTCTTTTAAAAGAAGATTTTACCACAGAAACGGTAGGAGACATATTTTATTAATTGTGTTGTTCTAGAGAACCTATGAGGTCACAGTACAGCATCAACGGGAAAGTCCTGGCCCATGTACCCTCTCCTAAGTAGGACCTCACAAGGATGAGGGCGGAAATACTTGGAAAATTACAAATGTGGCTAACACTGTTGTCAAGTGTAGAAAATGTCATGCTCAGGTAGAAAGTTCAGGAAAATCACCAAGAAATTAGAATTCCAAAAGTGTATCAATTTACTTAATCACAAAATTTTACTCTCTTGTTGGCGTCGAATCAACAGACACAGTCTTTTGAGAAGCTCACAATAAATGTCAGGGACAAATGTGAAAGTCTATGTCATTTTTGAGATAATGCTGCTGGCAATGATAATTTGCAGTAGCTGACTTACAATCGCAAGAATTTTTTCCTTATTATGGGATAACCTCTTGAATGTCACCACCACAATTAATCAACTTCTGCCAGAGCTTCTACATAAGTAGCACTTTTGGTTTCAGCAAGGCGAATCCATGATGAGGCCTTTCTCAAAACCACCTGGCTCTGGGAGGACCTTCCACACACACACAGGCAGAAATACCCACATAAGTCCCTTTGGTTCATAACTTCTTGGCTCATTTCTGCAAGATTCACCCCTGCGCTTTCTTTTTAAAGAAGATTTTACCTGAAACGGTAGGGAGACATATTTTTGTGTTAATATTGTTCTAGAGAACCTATGGTCACAGTACAGCATCAACGGGAAAGTCTGTATGCCTCTCCTAAGTAGGACCTCTGAGATGAGCGGAAATACTTGGAAGAGTACAAATGTGGCTAACTGTTGTCAAGTGTAGAAATGTCATGCTCCAGGTAGAAGAGTTCAGGAAAATCACCAAGGAAATTAGAATTCCAAAGTGTATCAATTTACTTAATCACAAAATTTTACTCTCTTGTTGTCAGAATCAACAGACACAGTCTTAGACATCTTCTCAGCTGAGTTCATAGTGCTATAATTTACTTATAGTGCCATCTCTACAAAGAGGAAGCCAGAGATCCTTTCTGCAGAGACCCTTTAGTGAAAAAGAAATGCCACCCTTTAGTAACCACTCTTTACTAACATAGAAAATTTTCATAATTCTCATAATCAAGTCCCAAGAAACTAACTCCTGGCTCCTTGTTCCTTTGATTATCTTCTGTTTGATAGTTCATTCTATAAATGCAAAACCTGCCTGGCTGTAATGACTTGTTCTTAGTGAAATGATGAGTAAGCAGTATGAGAAACTAGAATGGTCACAGGCTTTGGGTAGACTGACGATACTGTTTTTATGCTGATAGCATGGTGGTTTGTCGGTGTGTGTATGCATGTGTGTGTGTGCACACATACATGTATGGAATAATTATTTAACCTCTCCAAGACTCAATTTCTTCATTTAAAAAATATTAAATAATATTCTAAAACATATTTTACAGGGATATTGGGGGATGGAAAATGGCTAATGCCTAGAACATACTAAGTAAATGCCACTGCTATTCATGATTATTGAAGGTGGTGGTAGCTGGTAATGTGGTCCAGGACAAATTTGGTTTTGATGACTTCTCTGGTGCACAGCTTTGAAAACACTTAGGAGTTGTGGTTGACAGTTCTATCCAATGGTCATTGCCTATTCGTCTGCCTGATTTGTCTTCTAGTAATGATATGTGCACATTTAAACATTTAAACATTCTTTTAAAAAATATTCCTTTATTCTATTTAGTCTTTCCTCTTATTGGCTTATGTAAGTCCTCATCACTATTAACCACTGCTGGTATGCTTTACCAATAAGATGTGTACTATTTTTTTTTTTTTTTTTTAGACGGAGTCTCGCTCTGTCGCCCAGGCTAGAGTGCGGAGGCGTGATCTTGGCTCACTGCAAGCTCCGCTTCCTGGGTTTACACCATTCTCCTGCCTCAGCCTCCCGAGCAGCTGGGACTACAGGCGCCCGCCACCTCGCCCGGCTAGTTTTTTGTATTTTTTAGTAGATACGGGATTTCACCGTGTTCGCCAGGACGGTCTGGATCTCCTGACCTCGTGATCTGCCCGTCTCGGCCTCCCAAAGTGCTGGAACTACAGGCTTGAGCCACCGCGCCCGGCCAGATGTGTGCTATTATATGTGCATTTGTAACTTATTAAGACAGTAACTGAGAGAGTAAAACTCATAAGGACTTCTGTTTTACCACTTAGCGTATTTTGTGCCCACTGAGGAAAAAGAATAAAATGGGAACAAACACTTCTCTTAAACTCCAATTTGTCAAAATTTATGTTTACTTATGAAACTCATTTAATAAGAAAATTGTGAACACCTCAAGGGCAGGAACTGCTTTTTCATTTATTGTTATTGGATTGAATTGAATGGTTTTAGCACACATGAAAGTGATTCAAGCTCATTTACCAAATGTCATTATTTTTGTACCATATTTATTAAATGTCCACCATGAATTAGACACTAAAACAACACAGAGAAATGAAATATGACTTCTAATCTTTGATTAAATATGTATTGAGTGGCTTCTTTGTACTAAGGCACTACAAAGCTGCTGGAGATACATGATAATTATGGCATAGACTCTGTTCCCAAGGAGTATGAAACACCCAAGCCCTCATATGTGGATCCACTAGGGAGCCAAACAAGACATTGTGCAGTCAAGTACTAAATACAGTAGTCAGGCAAAGACCATAAGTCAATAGGAACTGAGTGGAACAGAGGTTGACAAGGCTTCTGCTTGACAGGAAAGGCCTAATGGGGAAGGCTGGACTTCATTTGCCTTTGAAGACTGAGAAAGATTTGCATAGACGAAGAGTGGTTAAGAGGGCATAACAGGTGGAGAGAAGGTAAGAAAAGGCCTCAGGAGGTGGAATTCAAGATGGCGAGTTGAGAAAATGGTAAGGAACCAAACTGGCTGAGAGAATGCTGGTAAGCAGAAGGAAACAAAATGAGAAAGATGGGGTGAAGTTTAATTACAGTGACCCTAGAGTCAGGCACATGGAGACAAATCTAGTGATACCCTCAGGGTCTTTGAGGAGGAAGGTGACATGATAGTTTCTGAGCAGTTCCAGTGTGACTCTTGTGAACTCAGTGTGGTTCACATGTTCTTATCAGTTTCGTCAGCTTTACTCTGCCTGTGTATTTGGTTGCTGCTCTGCTTCCATGTTAAAGTCAGAATATGCTTTCTCATTTAGGGGAAGCACTGGCTCATCAGATCTCAATGACCAGGAAGCTGGTTCTAGGACCCCAAAGAGCAGTAGGAGCAGTGGTGTGACCCCAGTCACTCAGAGGTCTCCAGCCCCAAGCACACGAAGTGTGACCTCAGTCATCAGTAGAGTAAGTATACAAACCTGATGAACACTGTATTAGTTCGTTCTCGTACTGCTATAAAGAACTGCCAGAGATTGGGTAATTTATAAACAAAAGAGGTTTAATGGACTCACAGTTCCGCATGGCTGCAGAGGCCTCAGGAAACTTACAATCATGGCAGAAGGAGTCTGTCAAACACTTGCAAAACTATCAAATCTCGTGAGAACTCACTATCACCAGAATAGCACAGGGGAAGGCTCCCTGATGACTCAATCATCCACCACCAGGTCCCTCCCTCAATACATGGAGATTGTGGGGATTACAGTTCGAGATGACATTTGGGTAGGGACACAGAGCCAAACCATATCAGACACGGAGTCTCTGAAATTCAACCTCACCACTGCATCGTGGCTAGGTTTCAACTCTATATATCAGAGCATGTTCTTTATGCTCTTTAAAGGTAGAAGCTTCATCGGGACTGAACCTCCTGCATCTTAGCTCCTGGAAGGAAACCCAAAGTGAAAAAGGAAAGGGAAAGACCAGATTCAAAGGTAGTACTTGTATGATGGAGGTTTAAATTGCTATATGGTTTAAATAAATATAGAACATTTTAGAAGGCTCCGATTTTGATCCTCTCTGTTACTCTTTAGAGAAAATATTCATAGGTTGAGTGCACAAATTTTTCCAAACTATTTTAAATCTGGAAAAGTAGAACTGTTATCTAGTTTTTAAAGTAGAAATTTTTATAGTTTTCTTTTCTATACATCTGTTAAAATAGGGAGTCAACATATAATGAAGGTTTAAATTGTATTTTTTATATATATATGTGTGTGATCAATTATATTTTCTATTGGTTTTCTCTTTTAAAAGAATATGAAAAAAGTATTTTGGGAAAAATGTTCTCTTTTATTAAATATTCCGTTGGAAGTTGTATTTGGAATGAATTAGCATATACTAGATTTTTTTATTTAGCAGGAAGCTCCATCCATTGCTGGCATCTATATTTGATAAATCTTTATATGAGCAGTGAGTTCATACAATACAAACAATTTTTGACTCAACCAACATTTAATGAGAACCTACTATATAACAGACTCTAGTCAGGCAAAGACTTGAAGGAAGTGAAAGAATTAGCAATGTAGTTTTCTGGGGCACGGTGTTCCACCAGGCAGAGACAGCACTGATATTTAGCAGGTACATGCAGGGAAGACTGCTCCACTTCCTTGTAGCTGGCCTCCATCTTGATTGGTCAGTGCCCTTGCTCAGCCAGTTTCTAAAATATTTTTAATGCCTCTAGAAGAAAACCCAGTGTGGAGCCCCTGAGGTGGGAGCACACCTGGTATGTTCAAGGAAGAGGAAAGAGGCCAATGCAGCTGTGGTGAGTGAATGAGGCAAAGTGAACTAGGAAATGAATCCAAAGAGGTCATAGGGCTGGAGAGAGCCTTGAAGAGTGATGTGTGCAGTCAGCATTCACACTGATTAAGATGGGGGGAACTGGAGGTTTTACAGCAGAAGAGTAACATAATCTGCCTTCTCTTTAAGCAGGATTTGGGGGTTGTGCTGAGAACCAGCTGTAGAGAACAAGAGTGAAAGCCAGAAAAGCAATCAGTAAGCCATCGTCATACCCCATGTGAGAGACTGGGTTTTGAAACAAAGAGATAGTGGAGGTGGCGAGTAGTCAAATTCTGTTAAGGCATTCAGACAGACTGAACAACAATAATAGATTTATTTAAACATTTATAGTCTTACTCGTAGTTGCTAAGATAAAAGGCATATTTAAAATTTCATAAATATTTATGCTAAGGTCAGCAAGCCATTTCTGTTCAATAGCTAGAAAGGGGCATGGATAGTTGACGAATACACTCAACTCTTGGAATCTAAAGAGGAATGATATTCAAACTACTTAGTGACCAGTCTGGCAGGGACGTTGAGAAATCACAACAGACACTGGCACAAGGCTGGGGCAGTAGAGCAGTAACCTGGGGACCCTTCCATGTCATGCACTAGATCTGAATTATGGGGAGACCTGGGCTTATGGATGAGGGTGAGCACAGGGAAGTGGGGGGTGGACTGGGAGTAGTGCTGTTTGTGGCCACAGAAATATTTTTAAAATTTTACATCTAGTACATTTGTCCCAGTGGGTAGCAGCTGACAATCAGTCCAATGACCAATAAGTTAATAAAGTTTATTCTCACAACAAAGTTTATCTTCCTACGTACAATTTGAGATTATTAGAGAGAAATCACCCTTTTCATGTGCTAATACCCTCAAACTAACAGCCCCCTACTTGTGTATTTCTTTGTTTAACAGTGCCCAGATTTCCCCAACAGAAATTCCCTGCAATTTAGTAGACTATATGTACATATATGTAGGCAGTGCCTATGTTGAGCTCATTCTTGCAATCTCATTAGTCTAAATTTGGTCTTTTCTAAGAAGAAAAAAGAGAAACAAAGAAGAACTCTATTGAATAAAAATAAGACAGCACAGTAGTTTATGAGTGCATTTGCTCTTTCATTATACAGGGAACATTTGCTCTTTCATTATACAGGGAAGTATATAGCCTTAGATGGGAAGTATATAGCATTAGATGATGAACAAGGTAACAACTTCTCAATTTCTCCCATTTCTTAGCATCTGTTTGTTTCAATGTTCTTTTCTGCTTTAGCATGAAAGAAAATATATTAGTCAGGGATCTCCACAGGGATAGAACCGATAAGATATATGCAGATATATAAAAGGGAGTTTATTAGGGAGAATTTGTTCACACAATTACAAGACAACGTCCCACGATAGGCTGTCTGCAAGTTGTGGAAAGAGAGAAGACAGTAGGATGGCTCAATCCAAGTCCAAATGCCTCAAAACCAGGGAGGCTGACAATGTAACCCTAGTCTGAAGCTGAAAGCCCAAGAGCCCCTGGGAGGCTGCTGGCGTAAGTCCCAGAGTCTAAAGGCTGAAGAAACTGGAGTCTGATGTCCAAGGACAGGAGGAGAAGAAGCCAAGTGTCTGGTGCAGCTTGGGAAGAGAAAGAGTGAGCAGACTTAGCAAACAAGCTGCTTATCCCTGTTATTTCATGTGCTTTGTTCTAGCCACACTGGCAGCTGATTGGGTGGTGCCCACTCCACACTGGGAATAGGCCTTCCTCTCTCAGTCCACTGACTCCAATGTCAGTCTCCTCTGGCAACACCCTCACAGACGCACCCAGAATAATACTTTATCAGCCATCTAGGCATCCCTCAATCCAATCAAGTAGATACCTAATATTAACCATCACAGAAAACTTTTAGAGCATGAAAGTCTCTAACCTGTCCTCTACTATGATGTAACCTATTAATTTTAGACTTGACATCCTGAACCTCTGGGGTATGTATTGCTTGTTAATGACACTGTAATATTAATTGGCCTATTATTGCACAATACTAATGATACTCACAGATCACCTGTGGGAAAACTTGCCATTAACATAATTGCCTCCAAGGAACTTGGTCTTGCTTCATTAGAGGACTCCATGTGTGAACAACTTTTTGAAGAGGTTGAAAATTGACCTAAACTAATTTATCAAATTGACCTCTGTCACACTCTTGATAAACTTTGCTTGTCTATGGCAATTAGAGGAAGTTAGAAGCTATATACCTCCTGCTACAGGTATTATATGTTGGAGAATAATAAGATACTAAAAACAGTCTAAATTGAAACTGAATCAATTAGCATGTTAAGCAAGTGAAAGCCACATTTCACTGTAGTGAGTTCATCAAAGTGTTCCTGAATGTCTAAGATATGGGAAACAGGGAGGAAATTCTTCCTCTAGGGTTTCAAAAGGCACTTTTTGATTGTTTATAGAAGGGAGAAGTGAAAAATCTGTTTTAGATTTGATCATTATCATACCATGATGTAATTTGAATGGACACTTAACCTCAGCCCAGTTCTGGAAAGGTCCAAAATTTGTTGTAGTTGTTGTTTTAACACTCAAGCAAGCTTCAGATGAGGCAGCAGTCAAGCCCTGCCTTGGTCTATGGCAGGGCGAAGGTCACAGACAAAGTTGGGTCTATGGTCGTGGGCAAAGTTGGGACAGAATTTTCTTTAACATGTGTTACAATAAAAGCAAGTCCCAGACTGAATTCTGCCACATGTACAAGCATTTGTTAACAAGCAGACACCACACAAAAGAATACTATTCCTGTGAACTTGGGAAGTTTTCTCTCTTTATCTTTTTATGAACATTGATAAGTACCATGCATGAAAGTCATTCCAAAATAGATGTAACCATCCATATTCTGACCAGCCAGCCTTCCAGATGGAAAAGGTACATGGTGTTCTGTTAAATGGGAGTGGAAGAGGTAAGGGATGGTTGAAGAGAGGGTATGTTGAAAGAGGAAACAAAATAGGACCAAACAGAGTTTTAAGCCTGAATCTTGCCAGATTATTATACATAGTTCATATAAGATTGAGGGTACCTGTATAATCTTTCTTATTAATCATATATTAGAGCACTCATTAATTTGGGGAATGAGAAATTGTCCAGATACTTTTTGCACTAATTAACAAACCTCTTGGAATAGATTTTGGATAGCAATTATTGATGGTAAATTTTGGAGTTACATGGACTCCTGGTGAGGGTCCTTCAAATGTCAATTAGGTCCTCCTAAATAGTAATACCTATAAAGGTGTTTATACTGGAGTATATTTTATATAGATGAATTTTGTAGTAAATTACAGTCAGTATAATTTGTTTTTCTCATTTTTACTTTGTGGGAAGGAGTATGGTTTTGAAAATTCCACAGATTTGGCTGCTCTTGAAGGTACCTCTCAGGAGTTCACAAAGAGTCACCGCAGAAACACTTCTGGCACACCTTCCATAGCAGTGTCTGGAACCTCTCTCTCCTCAGGTGGGTATTTACAACGTGCCTACTCTGTTGTTTAAAATGACTAAAACTAATGGAATTGACTGATATGTATGGTATTAAATGGATGTCTCATACTTTAAAAAGTAAGCATCCCTTCTTTGACCTATGGTGGTAGGCCACTCCATAAGAACTGCTTGAAGATAGACCCAGGTAATGCTTTGGGCACCTTATGTTTGTGAAAATTCCACTTATTTAGTATATACTCTTGCCAGGCATCATCACCGAGTTTCAGTGCTACATCAGAATATCAATATTTGAATGTAGGGAATATAAACGGTTCCAAGATACATTTGATATGACAGATAAGAACGCTAGCTCAGAGTTCAAGGAAATGGTAGTTCAATTGACATAGTGGTCAGAAGTTTCCTACATAAAGACAAAAGAAAATCATTCTGTGGTTTAAATAAGAAGTTATTTGCAAGCAGCACTAAGATATTAATAATTACCCCTTTCATTTGCATAGTACACTCAAATATGTCATTTTACTTCATTATCACAACTGTCCTCTGAAGCAGCTATTATTCATTTTGAAATGTTAATACCTATGGCTAAGAAAATTCTTCAGAGAAATTTGTCATAGTTATGAAGCTTATGTCCCATGCATGGAATAAAAATCATGATGAAATCTTCAACATTAAAAAGTTACGTGTTCCTAATGATGACACATGCATAAAGCCTAAGGCAGGATTCTGTATGCTGAATTGAGGAGTCTGTTCTAGCCAGCCAGCTCCCAAAGGGTTTTCTAAATGTGTGTGGTTATTGCTACATTTTGCTCAGGAGTAAAAAAGCTGTTCACCTGTTAATTAAATTTTTAAACTAATTTAGAAACCAACATCATAGGGTCTACTTCTATTACTACTTCGACTCAACAACTCCTGTTAATTGAGTACATACTCTGTGTCAGGCCTATGCTAAGCACTTCTGCATTATTTTTTTCATCAATTCAAACTTAAGTACTTGATTACTCTCTCCAATCTTTCTCATTTAAAAGTAACTATATCAATCTCAGTAGTGCTTTGGTATAGAACTATTTTGTGGCGATAAGCTGTGCTGACTTGGTAAGCTGTCTACAGCATTACTAAGAGGTGTATTGCTCTGTAACTTATATTTTCAAAACTGAAAACAAGATGTTCTTCTGATGAAAGAATGTTTAGGTCCCTTAAGAAATAGAACTTCCTCTCATTGCATCTATAGCGTCTCCTTTTTGTGTGAAAGGAACTTGCTATATCACTTCAAAGTGGCAGTTTAGAATCAGTTGCATTGAATTTTATGTCAAATCTAAAAACACAGTGAATTCTCTAAATATTGCAAGCAAGAATTGTTAAGGTTTTATTTTTTTCTAAATTTAAGGGCCCAGTCTAAGAGAGTTTTTTAAAGTCTAGGAGCAAAGCAGTTGCCTTAAACAGCTTAAAACATAGCATTTTACAGTAAAACATTTAACCTCCTGTGATAGAAGGAAACATGAACACATAAGTGTAATTTGGTCCAAGGCAATTACCAAAATATTATTAAAAATGGAAGTATGTTGTCATAAACAGCATGAAGTTACTGACTCCGACTGTTGCTTTCATGGCACTATTTATGATCTGTGCCTAAAAAGAACTGAAATAAAGGTGAAACACTCACAATAAAAAATGAAATCTTCTCACAAAATATGATGACTCACGTCTTTCTTTTTCCTTTCCACCTTCCAGATCGGAGTCGATCTGAGTTAGATTTGAGTGAGTCATTTACAGAAGACTTAGAGGATACAGTAAGCATAAGAAGCAAATCTGTCCCTGGGACTTTAGACAAGGTAAATTGGATGAAACTATAATGATGAGGAGGAAATAAGGGCATAATCTTGTTGCAAGTGGTTACACTTTTAGGTGATGATGAGTTGAGAGTAAAGAGAGGATATACAATCATCTCTTCCTGTTAGTCTTCACAGTCAACGCATAAACACAGAAAGAATAACTTAGAAAACATAATGGTTAATCATGTTAATGAGTGAAGGTTATGTCTAAGAAAACACATGTTGGGGATTTCGGTTTCCAGCTAAAGGCTTATCACTTAATCTAAACCTGGGAAATAAGGGATCCTAGTATTTTCCTAAGCCAAATATTATTAGGCATATCTGATTACATATTTATATGAACATTGCTATATCTCAAGTTACCACTAATAAATTCACTTCTAAACTGAGACAAAATTATGTGAAAATTAATGTTTCAGTGAACTCATTTCTAGAATGAGAAGGTTAAATTAGATTATTGTAAAGGTTATTTCCCAGTCTAATATTCTGATATTCAGATTTCTGTAATTGCTATAATAAAATCTGGACTCCTTGGAAGAAATAGAACACAAATGTAAAATGGTATTGATAGTTTTTTCAAAGCAAACTAGGAAACTTAGAGTTATAAAATGAAATAACATTTTCTATAGTACAAAAAACTGGGAAAATACTTTAAAATCTACCTCCAAAAGAGAGGTAGGCAGTGAGATCAAATTATTTCAAAGCTTACTCATGTTCAACCTTTAAAGAATTACTAATTCCAACATTATTAAACTATTAAACTATTCCTGATCTTAGAAAACCATTAAAATCTTTACATTCATTGTATGCAGCCAGTATAATCTTGAAACTGAGACTTGATTTTTAAAATAGTTTAAAAAATAAAACTACAAGTCAAACTAGTTTATGAATATATATGCAAAACTTTAAATATAATATCAGTTAAAATCTAGCAGTGAATAAAAATAGCAATAAGTAAGTTTTATGCTAAGTATGGGTGGAAGAATGAATCTATATAAGAATATTTGTCAGCATAATTTATATCAATATACTAAAGAAGAAAATGACATGATTCTGTATGTAGAAGATATTAAAGGATCTACAAAAATATGACTAGAACTGATAAGTTCAGCAAGGTTGCAGGAGATAAGATCAATACACAAAAATCAACTGTATTTATATATACTAGCAATAATCAATTGGAAAATGAAATTAAGAATATAAGTCCATTCATAATAGCATGAAAAATAATTTTCAAAAGTAAGGAATAAATTCATTTTTAAAAGTTAAGACATGTGCATTGAAATTAACAAAAATGTTTCTGAATTAAAGGAGACCTAAATTAGTAGAAATATATTCTGTGTTAATGGATTAGAAGATTCAATATTTTTAAGATGGAAATTCTCTCCAAATAAATGTATAGACAATGCAAACCCATCAAAATACAAGCAGGATAATTTCGTAGAAATAGAAAATATGATTCTACCATTTATATGAAAATATATGGGACCCAGAATAACAAAATCAATTTTAAAGAGCAAAGTTGGAAGATTTATACTACTAGATTTAAAAACTTACCCTACAGTTATAGTTATCAGTACAACACAGTATTGACATAAGCATTGGCAATCAATACAATAGAATTGAGATTTCAGGAAAATAAAAAAACTTTATGGCCAATTGATTTTTGGTACTTCAGTGGGGGAAAGAATAACCTTTTCAACAAATCATACTGGGACAACTGGATATCCAAATACCACAAAACATAAAAGAACTTTGACTCTTAATATATACCATACAGAAACCAAGTAACGCAAAATGGATTATAAACCTAAATGTAAGAAGTGAAACCATAAAATTCTAAAAGAAAACCTAGGAGAAAATCTCCATGACTTTGAGTTAGGCAAATAATTCTTAGATATGGCACCAAAAGCATGACGCATGTGTTCAAGAAAAAAAACACCGATAAATTGAATTTCATCAAAATGAAAAATGTTTACACTTCAAAAGACAACATTACAGACATGAAAAGTCAAGCCACAGACTGGAAAAATATTTTCAAATTATATTTTTGTTAAAGGACTTGTATCTAGAATATATTTCTTAAAACCCTTACATTCAATATCAAAAAGACAAATAATCATATTAGATAATGGGGAAAAGATTTGGATAGACATTTAATCAAAGAAGATTTTCAAATGCCTAATAGCCACCTTAAAATATGTTCAGCATCATTAGTTATCAGAGAAACAAAAATTAAAATCACAATGAGACACCACTTCACATCCCCTTGAATGAATGTGATTAAAAAGACATAATAATAAGTGTCAATGAGGATGCAGAGAAATTGGAACCCCCCTACATTGCTAGTGGTAATGCAAAATGCTACCTACAGCCATTCCGTAAAAGAGTTTCACAATTTCTTTAAAAATTAAACATAAATTTACTACATGACATAGCAATTCTGATCCTAGGTATTTACCCAAGAGAAATGAAAACGTATGTCCACATAAAGACTTACACACGAGTGGTTATAGCAGCATTATTCGTAATAAACAAAAAGTGAAAATAATACTCTCTGGTGAATAGATGGAATACAATGATATATTATTCAGAAGTAAAAAGAAATGAAGTACTGACACATACTACAACATGGATGAACCTTGAAAATATTACGCTAAGTGAAAGAAACCAGGTGAAACTATATATCATATAATTATATTTATATGAAATGTCAATGAAAGGAAAATTGATGGGGAGATTAAAGCAGTGTAATGGTTGCCAGGGACTGAGGAAGTAGGGACTGACTGCAAACAGGCATGGGGTAACTTATTGGATTGATGATATACTAAAACTGGATTATGTTGATGTTTGCTCAACTCTAAATTTGCTAAAAATCACTGAATTGCATACATACAATAGGTAAATTTTATGGTATGCAAGTCATACCTCAATAAAGTTGTGGGAGAAAAAATAAGCAGCAAGGAAAATAGCTGGAAAAGTGATCATTGTTAAAACTGGGTAATCAGTTATAAGGGTTCATTATGCTATTCTTTCTATTTTGTGAATGTTTGAATTTTTTAATATCCACTTTTAAAAAGAAAGTAAAGAAATACGAAGACTGGTACTTTATGTGATGATCACTGGGTAATTGTACACCGAGAAAGAGCAAAACATAAAAATATAGAAAAGGGACAATTTGAAAAAATAATAGGGATACATGTTTTCAGAATTAGAGAGCTTATTAGTTTTGGCAGCTTTTTGCTGAAGTTTTTAGGGTGTTCTATATATAAAATCATGTCATCTGCAAACAGACAATTTTATTTCTTCCTTTCCAATTTAGATGCCTTTTATTTCTTTTCCCTGTTTGATTGCTCTGGCTAGGACATCCAGCACTATATGGAGTAGAGTTGGTAAGAGTGGGCATACTGTATTTTTTCTGATCTTAGAGGAAATGTTTTTAGCTTTTCCATGTTGGGTATAATGCTAGCTAAGAGCTTGCCCTGTATGATTTTATGTTGAGGTAATTTTTTTCTTTATCTAATTTGTTGAGTTTTTAGTACAAAGAGATGTTGATTTTGTCAAGTGCCTTTTCTGCATCTATTGAGATGATCATATGGGTTTTATCCTTCATTCTGTTAATGCAATTTATCACAACTATTGATTTGTTTATGTTAAACCATCACTGCATTCCAAGGATAAATCCCACTTAGTCAGGTTGAATGAGCTTTTTCATGTGCTGCTGAATTCAGTTTGCTAGCATTTTGATGAGGATTTTTGCATCTATGATTTATCAGAGATATTGGCCTGCAATTGTCCCTTTTTTTTTTTTTTTTTTTTTTTTGGTGTGTAGTATCCTTGTCTGACTTTGCTATCAGGGTAGTGCTGGTTTCATAAAATTAGTTTGGAAGTGTTCCCTCGTCTTCAATTTTTGGAAGAATTTGACAGGAATTGGCATTAATTCTTCCTCAAATGTTCAGAAGAATTCATCCATGAAGCCAGCCCTTTCTTACAAGATGCTATTCTACAAGATATTCCAACTCATCTTGTGGGATCATCAGTGAGAAAAAGGCAACTACAATAAGTTCTCATTTAACGTCATCAACAGATTCTTGGAAACTGCCACTTTCAGCAAAATGATGTATAACAAAACCTTTTTATCCCTCATCAGTGTTTTAATGAAATGACATTATTTGAGGACGTGCTGCACATCCTTTCACTTAAAGTTGCAGTTTTCAAGAACCTATGGATGCTGTTAAGTGACAACTTACCATAAACCAATATAAAAATAAGCAATTTTTGAACAAGTATTTCACAAAACAGGAAATCCAGTTGGCCAACTATCACAAAATAGTATTCAACTTAGTAAAAGAGAAATGGAAATTAAAATCATGAAGACCGTAAACATCTACTGGATTGGCAAAAATGAAAAAAAATCTAACAATACCGTCTGTTTGCAGGCAAGGATGTGGAGCAACAGGAACTCTCATACACTACTGATTAGACTGTAAATTGGTATAACTACTGAAAATTTGACATTATCTTTAAAATGATATAGATAAGCATGTGGAGATATGCTCACCCCATGACTTGACAATTCCTCTCACTGGTATATATTCAAGTGTGTGAATATATATACTGTGTTGTGTGCATACTGTGGTGTGTGTATATGCGCCAGGATACATATTCACAGAATATACATATCAGTGTTGGTCACAATAGAAAAAAACCTGAAAATAACCCAAATATTCAGCAACAAGAGAATGGATAAAGTTTTGGATATCATACAATGGAATATTAAATGATAATAAAAATGAATGGGCTGCAAAAATATGCCACAATTTTGATGAATTTTAAGGCAATATTAAGCAAAAAAAGCAAAATGCAAAGGAATGTGTAGCATTTAATTGCATTTACATGAAGTTCAAAAACAGGCAAAACAAAATCTTTTTGTTTCAGAGTGCATGCTTATGCAGTTAAACTATAAATAAAAGCAAGGATGTGGTTAACCGTAAGAGTTAAAATACTAATTATTCCCTGCGGGAGAAGGGGCTTGTGATATGGACAGGATACACAGGGAGCTTCTGCCTGATCAGTTGATGTTGTTATTATACTATACATCTATGTTTTATGTACTTTTTAATATGCTGCATCTTATAATAAACACTTTTTTAAAGCAAGCCCAGAAGTGTACATCATAATCCTGATTTGTAAAACAATAGTTAAAAAAATTCCCATGAATGTATACTTCGATTTGTGTGTATGTTTTTATATGATTTTTCACATAAACAAGGAGAAAGACATGGAATGTAATATGTGCAGCAGAATGCCAAATATTAATTTCGCCTGGTGTGAAAGGAGGGGAAGGAGGAGAGGAGAAGCAAAAAAAAAAAAGTGCCCATAATAAAAAGCAGTATGCATGATATAATCTATCTATGTGTATATGTGTATATGTGTGTATATATATATGTGATCATATAATCAAAAATATTGGAATTGATCATTAATATGTTAATGAGAGACCTAAGTTTTTAATTTCCATTTATTTATATTGCTTAAAATGTTTTTACTAGGAAAATATATCGCTTAAATAACTAGGCAAAAAAAAACCACTTTATCACGAAGGAGAAAAAGAAATGGGAAAGGAAAAGTAGAATCTGGGATTTGAGATGAGAGTCCAGTACCTAGTTCACCTAGTGGAAAGATTTTTGAGATATACTTTACCACCTTGGCAGAGCGTGTGTGTGTGTGTGTGTGTGTGTGTGTGCATGTGCACACAATTTTTTTTTTTTAAATTTTAAAGTAACGTAAGTACATTGCCTAACATGAATCACCTTACAGGTAGGAATTGAACCCAGGTCTGTATGATTCCAAATTTCATGTTCTTTCCATAAAGTAAGCACCATTAGAAAGGAGACCCCACTCTCCACCCACTATCCCTGCCCGCTTCTCCGATGGTATAATTCAGATTGACTGGAGAGAAAAAGAGGAAAACCTAGGAACGGAGTGATTTCTAGATATTTTTATCTGATTCTCAAAGATTTATGAAAGAAAGTGGTTTTTCAAGTGAAAAGACATTCTAGAAAAACAAATAAACCAACCCACTGATTTTTCCCCTTCTTTTTTAGGACTCCTTGGAAGAGACTGAAGAAAGCATTGATGCCTTAGTGTCCTCGCAGTTATCTACAAACACGCACAGTCTGGCAAGTGGCCTATCAACTTTAAGCAGTTCACTAGGACATGCGGAAAGTTTCTTTTCTCTCTTTTTGATTTGCTGTGCATTTCCAAAGGAGATATAAATGTTCTTAGAACAATATGTGATAACGAGTTAAAAGTCATTGTAAGATCCTGCTTGCCCTTTGCCCACAGAGTACCTTTCAGTCTAATTTGGTCTGAGTTTTTTCTCAGGCTCCTGATTTCTTCCTTCTTCCACAGTCCTCACCCAAGTTTTAAAAATCTCCTCACTCCCTAGTTCAGGCTCAGTCAGCTCAAGCCTATAAATTATTTTTCAATTATCTGCTGACACATTTCCCTGACACCATTCTCTAAACTCCCCAACTGTCCTCCAGACTGCTGCCAGTCATTTTCCTAAAACACGTGCCCAATCAGGTCTGTCCGCTACTCAAAACCCGTCAATAGCTTCCCACCGCCCACAAAATAAAGTCCTTTCTTATGTTAGTGTTCAAGGCCTTTTCTGAGAGAAAGGCCCTGTGTCCTTGTATCTAACTGTGTGTCTGTAAGTCTTTTTCTTGGCTTCTCTGATTTCTGTTGCTCTGATGCTTTTTTTCTTTGATCTTTGGATGACTTCTCTAAAGAATTCTCAAGCAGGTTCTGACAGGAAGTGGACCTTCCTAAATGTGCCTGATGCTGACTCAGACACTGTGAGTTTTCAACCTTTCCTTTTTGTTCTTTCCAACCATACTTCACAAATTTCATGGCCTGGGAACTATGATTAAGCAATTTGTCCCATATTTATCTTTTTTGGACTTATATACAATTAACCAGAGGTTATCTTTTAAAAGATTGATGAAGTTATCAGAACCCAAGTATTCCAATTCATTAAACATTGGAATCCGAACACCACTCAAAAGACACATGGTCTAAAATGATGTATTGTCAACAAAACCTTTGAAGTAAGCATCTATTTTAAATCACAGCCTTAGCTTGGTTAAGAGCATATGGTTTAGTTAGTAGTAAAATTGCCATAGCTGTCTTAATTTCTCACAAGCCTCCGTATTTGCGGGTTCCTAAATTTCCTTCTATCCATAGGGGCCCTCTGCTTACAGAGGATTTTCTTTGAAAATGTGGCTACAGAGATGTGGTATAGACACAAATCAGTGATAAAGGGAGGTAATCAGGTATGGTGGGGCAGTCCTCAGACTAGAAACCTGGAGATCTTGCTTTATTTCTTGGCCCTACCAACAATTTTTGTGAGCCAGAATTTTCTCATTTGTAACATGAGGTGGTTGGGGCTTATTCTTGAAACCTTTGCTACTCAAATCTCCATGTACCAGCACATTGCATCACTTGGAACAGATACCCCAAAACTTTCTCAGTTCAAAAAGCCCCTAGTGTCTCAGTAATTCTTTCCTGGCACTCCTACACTAAAAGTAGCACCTGACTAGTCCATTTATTAAGTAGTTAGACCCAAACAATTTAATAAGCACTGCATCCTAACAACTAACTAGCCATTTGAAAAAAATGCTACAAGTAAATGGAAAGAAAAATAGTATTTTTATTTCATCCTTAAATAGCACCTATTACTTACCACTAATAGGATATATGTGCCTATTGAGCACTACACAGTTACCAAATCTTGGAATCTGATTGGACATCACTACTTTCATTTCCCATTTCATATTCATTTTTGTGCAATACTTGCTTTTTGTTGCAGCAACTGCCAAAAACTCAGCTTCAAACAACTAGGAGTTCATTGAAAAGAATAAAGTGTGGCTTAATGTTGACACTGTGAATTACTAGTTAGTAGCTTACATGGTGTCTGATAGGTGTTGTTGTGTTTCCCTTGAGAATTTAAAATCTTTCTGTGATTCCCCTGTGAGTTTGCTGTGGTGCTCTGTGGTACCTCGATACACAGTTTGGGAACTGCAGGCCTAGGAGTTTGTTAGAACAGTCAAATCTCAGACCTCACCCCAGACTGAAGAGAGAAGCATTTTCAGTTTAGAAAGGTATCTGGGTGATTTCTATGCAATTAAAGTTTGAAAAGCACTGCTCAAAGCCACCTGCTAAACATGAAAATTCTGTTGCTTTGTTTTAGGAATAAGAAAAACAGATTAGGTCACTCACTGACTTTCTTTAAGCTCTAATTTCCAAATAATTATGGAATTATTGGTCTGCTCTTGCCCGTGAAGAAGCTTAGAAGACATGTGACCACATCACCCACATCCTGTTCTTTGGTCAGTCTCTACTCCCAGAAATTGGTGGAATATAATGGCTTTTACCAAAAGCAAAGTACAAAAAAGAGGACAGTCTAAGGTCCCTGTGTACTTACCGTAGTCTTGACTTCCCAGTGGTTCACAGAAAAGTGGTTTTGAAACTATTGGGTCAGCCGTGAAATACCTCCAGGTGGTCTTTTGTGACAGTTACTAAGATACACAGTTTTCACTTCTAGTGCCAAAGCGTAATTTTATTACATTTACAGTAGTCACCTTTATCCACAGATGATACATTCCACCCACCCCAGTGGATGCCTGAAACCTCGCATAGTACCAAACCCTAGCCAAGAAGCACCAAGGTCACATCTTCACTCAAAGAAAGCACTTTTGGCTTCTCTTTGACGTATATAAATTACTACCATCATTACTCTTAACACTTTGGAGTCATTATTAAGTAAAATAAGAATGAGTTGAACACAAGCTCTGTGATAGCAGGACAGTCAATCTGATAACTGAGACAGCTAAGTGACTAATGGGCAAGTATCATCTACAGTGTGGCTCCAACTGGACAAAGAGAGGCTTCACATCCAGGGTGGTGGGATGCAGCAGTATGATGTGAGAGTTCATCATGCTACTTGTGAACCCTGAAAATCTGAGGCAAGTCTCAGTTAACTTAGAAAGTTTATTTTGCCAAGGTTGAGGACCAGCACCCCTGACACAGTCTCAGGAGGTCCTGACAACATGTGCCCAAGGTGCTCAGAGCACAGTTTGGTTTTATACATTTTAGGGAGACATAAGACATCTATCAACATATGTAAGGTGAACACTGGTTGGGTCCGGAAAGGCGTGACAACTCCAAGTGGGGAGGGGGCTTCCAGGTCATACGTAGATAAGAGACAAATAGTTGCATTATTTTGCGTTTCTTATTAGCCTTTCCAAAGGAGGCACTTAGATATGCATTTATCTCAGTGAGCAGAGGGGTGACTTTGAATAGTATGGGAAGCAGGTTTGCTCTAAGCAGTTCCCAGCTTGACTTTTTCCTTTAGCTTTGTGATTTTGGGTGCCCAAGATATTTTCCTTTCACATATTCAAAACAGCATACAATTTAAAACTTATGAATTGTTTGTTTCTGGAGTTTTCCATTTAATATTTTTGAACCGCAGTTGACCATGGGTAGCTGAAACTACGGAAAGTGAAACTGTGGGTAAGGGGGACTACTGTACATTAAAAGCTGTCTCATGTCATTAGTGTCTTGTCGAAAGCCTCATTCATTCTGGTAGATTTAGACTTTTTTAAAAAACTTTTTTCCTGATTGGTTGGTGTGTGATTTTATTGTGTAGTGGTATATTTTGTGGGCTGCTACTTTATACAGATTTACAAAGCCATGGTCTCATAGTACTCGTGTAGCCACACAGCTAGCTACTCAGTGGAGGGAAATCGTGGAAGCTGTGGGTATGTGGTGTTCTTCTGGCATGTCCTTGTTAAAGCTGCAGTTATGGCTCCCCAGAGACTGATGGGATGCCCCCTGTAGGTGTCAAAGAAAGCAGTATGTGGCTCCTGGTAGCACAGAATATGAGATAAGCTATTCTTTGTCCCGGTCAATGTATTCTACACCTTGTAGTAGATTGAACTTGAGTCTACCAGTGAAAATGGAGAAAGCTGCAGGGATGGAAGAGAAGTGAGATTTGAAATGCCTCAATTACCCTGTATTCATTAGTAGAAGTGAGTAAGCAAAGGGTATTCTCTAACCCAAGAAGGAAATGCTTCCCCTCTAAGCAAGTTTTCTACCTTTTTTTCCTGATGGTACTAGCTCTGTTGTCTTTTCTCCAGCTGGGATTTTATACAATACCAGCCAAACAAGTAACTCTTGTTTTCTTTCCTCACCCTAGACTTCCATGCTCATTAGAAAGAACAGGAACTATAATTGAATGAAGTCGGTTGATTCTGTGAAGAGATCATTAGAATGACACTAGATGCCTTTTTCCATCTGGTTTATTTCAGACCAGTCTTAACAGCATGATGAGTGTTTACAGTGAAACCGGAGACTATGGCAACGTGAAAGTCAGTGGTGAAATCCTTCTCCATACCAGCTACTGCTACAAAACTGGTGGGCTCTACATTTTGGTCAAGAATTGCAGAAATCTGGCCATAGGAGATGAAAAGAAACAGAGGACAGATGCGTAAGCACATAGCATGTTCCTCAGACTATTTCAATCACTGCCTTTTTTGTCTGTATGTATGTTTCCTTTTCAAAAGAGTCTTAGCATTCTTCTTGATTCAGTCTTCTCAGAGAGTTCATTGTCACGTTCCTCCTATACCACACTTCTGGATATTCTCTGAAGCACATGTATGCTGGTTGTGTCCTTGATTAACTGATTTTTAAAACATAATTCCGGATTGACATATTTGAAATTTACACAGAGGCAGCTCTTTGAAGTAGAATGCTGACATGTTGGCACACCCAGGATATACAAAAGCATCTTGTCAATTTTTGTTCTGGGAAATCCTCCAGAGAAAATTACCAAGCTGTCACCCAATTAAACAACTCAAAAAGGCAATTATGAGGCTCTCAGGATTCTAGAGATCAGCCTGGGAGGGCAGGTATGGACCATAGCACATTGGAGAGAAGCTAGATATAAAGGTGTGTCAGGGGTCCTCAAGACCACTGCCAGGTTCAGGGAGGGCAGGTATGGACCATAGCACATTGAGAGAAGCTAGATATAAAGGTGTGTCAGGGGTCCTCAAGACCACTGCCAGGTTCAATGATTCACTAGGAGGACTCAGACTCTGCAATTTGCTATAATCAGCAAAGAAGCACATGGGGCAAAAAGTCCAGGAGACTGTGCCCAAGCTTGGCGTCCTTTCCTATTGAGTCACATAGGATGCATTTAATTCCTCCGGCGATGAGTTCTGACAACACTTGTGAAATGTTGCTCACTACAAGCTTTGTTAGAAATTCAGCTGGTCACATACCAATTTCAGTCTCTCAGAAGGAAAGAACTCGTTCAGCATAAGCCATTTTCTTTGTACAAACAATTTAGGAACAACGAGCCACTTTTATCTGTTCTTGGGAATGGTGTAACCTCCTGAAATCCAAGTTGCCAGGTGCCACCCAAGGGCCATATTTGCAAGCAGGCATTTAGAAAAATGACAGTCTCAGGCCCACTATGTTAACCCCTTTTCTGCACAGGTAGATGACCTAGGTCCACAAATAACTCCAGTGAACCTGGGTTCCAAATACCTTGAGATAGACAAAATGAGTGGATTCTGACTACAAATTGGTCCACCTGCCTCCCCCAAACTAAAATTTCAGAAGGCTACAGGACTGTGTAATTATTTTGACTAGCTTGGAAAGGAGTGTTGTTCTAAAACTCAACAGATATTCTGTAGAACTCTTGGTAGCATCTTTTATACATTTCAACCTCGTACACATCTTGTACATTTCTGAGTCTGCTGTGGTACCCTGCTTCAAGAGGCCTTGAGATAGCCTTTGGCCAAAGTGTTGGGTAGAATTGCTAATACTACTTCAGGTTGTCGTTGTTTCTTATTTTGTCTCTTTCACCATTTTCTTTCACTCACCCATTACCATTGACCCCACTTTCTGACATCAGAAGGCAAGACTAGGAATAGAGAAGCATCTAATCCCAGAAAAGTTTGCTAGAGACTGTTAACATTAATAATGTATTACATTTGTTGAGTAGTACAATACGGTAGCTCCTTGGATGTGTCAACTAATTTAATCCTCAGAAGGCCATCAGTTAGACACTGTTATTTTCCCAGTTTTACAGATGAAGAAACTGAGGCACAGAGTGGTTACTTAGGCAAGCATTCTTGAGGTCACCAAAACTCCTGAGGCATGGAGGATTCAAAATCAGGTGGCTTGGCTCCAGAACCCACACTCTTTTATCGTTACACTTTACTACTTCTTGTATGGAAGGCCCAGGTTCTCATTTAAGGTATCCTTTATATAGACAAAATTCTCTTGGTATTTCCTCATGCGCACTGGCCCTTTGCCTTTTTATTCACAGGTCTTTGAACATTTCTTGCAGATAGATGTTTCATGTCAATTACATTTGTATTTTCTTACCTAGGTTATGTCAAGTCATACCTTCTTCCTGACAAGTCCCGGAACAACAAGCGTAAGACCAAAATCAGAACAGGCACCAATCCAGAATTCAATGAAACACTAAAGGTAAATAAATATGGTCTCATAGTAACGCATGTGATACTGTTCACAACTTCAATGGTTTAGAAGTAACTACAGAGAATATTTTATTTGCATGTCAAGGCTTGTATATGTTTTAGAAAATTAGAATTTGAATAAATTAACATAATACTCTTGACTTTTCTAACATCTTTTGAGGAAACGAAAACACTCTTATTCTGTTTAGGTCTCTGCTGCTACTGAATTTTAACCTTGAATAGAGATGATCCAGCCAAACTGCATCTGTGCTGATGCATCTTGCCAAAAAAGTCGGTTTTACCCTTGGGCAAACAGTGCTTTTTCTGACTTCCTTAAAAGAAGTTTGTCACAGTTTTGACACTACTTAACAGTCATTTTGCACACATTCATTGTTCTGCTAATATAGCATAGATCTGTACTGTTTGTTGTTAGGATTTCAGAATTTGACTAAATATAAGTATGTGGTTAATGAATAGTGGAAATGAAGAGCCAGATTTGAGAAATCTCAACAAAAGTGGCCTAGATAAAATATAGCCCAATCCAGCTCAATGATCCAGAAAATAGGAATCTCTTTCCAATGAGCTTTCACATAATTAACCCCTTCCCTTGCTATGGACCAATCTGGCCTGGTATGAAACATCCAGGGAGAATGGGATGAAGAAATTATTGCCAATTCTATGGAAATCTATGGGCTTTTGCCCAAGAATGATGGAGGCAGAGTCCATTTTAGGAGGAAATTGGTAAAGACAGAAAGCCATGAGCCTGCATGTGTCAGTGGGAGCATGTGTGGAAGCAGGAGCTAATATTAAGACAAAACAAACTGACAAATGAATAAATACAGGCAGAGGGTATATTCAATGGCCATAACAGGATTGAAAAGATGAGCCCAAATACAGGGAGAGTGTAAATTTAGGAAGCAGGGAGCCAAGGTTAATTATGACAATAACAGCAAGAACGAGAATAGACACTAATCCAAGATCAGGAGTCAGTCAGTCTGAAGTGTGTCCCAGATGGTGGTTGCATAGAACAAGCAGAAGGTTGGAGGGTGTGTGAGCATGTGGCCCTGGATAGTGCTGTTACCAAAAAAAAATGCTAGCCCAGCAACATCTTCTTTCTGTTTAATATACATGTACACCTTTTCACCTCTACACTTAGGCTGGACTTTATAAAATTTGGTGTTTGCGAGTTTCTCATTGTCAATTCTTTTCTGGATTTGGGGATTCTCATTATGAATAAGATAAGAAAGAAGTTGGAGAATTTATATATTAAACCTTGAGTTTACAAAGTAGGTGTGAAAAAATAATTAAGGAAAATGAAAAACCAATAAAACTGGAAAGAGGATAAGCTTCATCACCTAACACTTTGTATACAGTATCTGGAGTTTACCTCTACCTCAAATACTACCTCAAATATCTTTCAATGTTAAGTCTGGCACAAAATGAGTTTATGGCATAGAACTTCAATTGTAGCAGAAACAAAGAAAAACAAAGAGTTTTCTTTGGGTTTGTTTTGTTCATGTTACTGATGTATATGATCTGAAAGATGTCGGAAGTAAATTTCAACCTGTCCTGGAATTGGATAGAGCCCTCCTTGTGGAATGTAACGTTGCAAATCTCATTTGCAGTACACCATCAGCCATACCCAGCTGGAAACAAGAACTCTGCAGCTGTCAGTCTGGCACTATGATCGATTTGGACGTAATAGCTTCCTCGGGGAAGTAGAGATTCCTTTTGACTCATGGAACTTTGAAAATCCAACTGATGAGTGGTTTGTGCTTCAACCCAAGGTAGGAAATGCTCTTAGATTAGTCAGTTATGCAATGATACAAGTTATGAGCGAAATTGATGTCATAGACCTAAAGAACTCGAAGACTTTCAAATTTCAAGTGATAATCTGCAAAAAATTTGTACAGGAAATTTTGGAATAATATTATAAAAATGTTGTAAATCCACCGCTTTGGAAATTCTTTGTCAATATAGGTCTTTTGTATAATGAAAGCCACATAACCATATATATTTTTTGCTAAAAATGTGTATTATTTGACAGTCTTATTGGATAACTGAAAGCAATACATTATATGATCTTATTAGAGAGTCTTCATTTTCACATAGGCAAAACCAAATTCATACAGCATAAACAATCTCAAAACATTACCTTTATTTCTCATTCTCCACAATTCAGACCATAAGCAGGAGTGATCTTGCCTTTGCTTATACGAGGGAATAACCAGTAGCTTAAGTATCTGATTTTCTTATGTTCCTACTTTTGGGATTCATGACCCAGGCCTTGAGTTACATTCAGAAAAAAAATCTTAGAGCTGATAATTAAATGCCAATACTGTATAGCATGTTCTAATCTAGACCAACAGTGCCTTGGATTCACTTTAAGTGACTGGAGTCTCTATGCATTTGCAGTACTTTTTAAGCCAAAATAGAGGTGAGTAAAGGTCACATTTATGCAGTCAAAGATTATTCTTTATATACAGAAAGGCAAAAACACATTATGATGAAGACAGTGGACTGAAATCAAACTTACTTGGTTCAGTCCTGGCTTCATGACTGCCCATGTGACCTTGGGCAAATTATTTAACTTTTTATGCCTTAGCGTCCTCAGTTGTAATATAATCATTGGATGTAGCTTATAGGTCTGTGGTGAGGCTTGAATAAACATTGTATACATGGCTGTCAGCATTTTATCTGGAACATTGTAAGCTCTCAGTAAATGTTAAATGGTATACATGTGACTTGGGAGTCCTTGTATTGCAACTGACAGAAACTCCAGCTCATACTGCTCAAAATATAAAGGGAGATTATTGGCCAGCAGTGATTAGGCATGGCTTGATCCAGATGTTCAAATCTTATCAAAGTCTTGGAATTTCTTGGTCTCTCTTTTTAACTTCATTGGCTTCATTTTCAGATTCCATGCAGTATTGTCCTCCCTGACTAGCTCCAAGCATGCCTCTCTAATGACTACAGTGGCTGAAAGCCTTTCATCTTTGCATCACACTGTTCAGAAGAGGAGAGAGTTCCTCCTCCTCCAACAGCCAAATCAGCGCATTGGGTCTGGTTCTCCTAATTATAATTCTATCATTTGCCTATTCTAAGCTAATGACTGTGGCCAGGGAGGTAAGATGCATTAGGTGGCTTAAGACAATCAGAATATACCCTGGTTCTGAAGGAGGGAACAATAGCATCCTTCCAGTCAATTTCCTGGAAATAGTTGAAGGACTTTGCTGGAAGGATATGTAAGCTCTCCTAGACCTCTCCCAGGCATCCTTTGTGCTTAGAAATCAGCATTTTCCTCAGTAATCACTTCCACATTGTCGATGAGTGATTCACAGCCTATCATAAGAGGGAAGCATCTCTGAGTCTTTCTGAGCCTACTGAAGGTAGAAAAGTTCGGATCGCATTCACTGTGGAATACCATGGGCCCTCTGCCAGATCCTCTTAGGTTCCTAACCATGTCTGTTAGGAGGTTCGCCGCAACAGCCTCCACCTGAGACTCTCTTTAGAAGACTTCCCTCGGGCTACTGTGGCTTTTTGCCTACATAGGCAGAAAGCCAGAAGTCCTGGGAATTTTTGTACCCGCTGCCACGTGACAACCCTTCATCAATAACTGATAGGTGGGGGAGTATGAAGGCCCACTTCCCTTACTGAAAGTGGGGAAAAGCTCCAAAGTGTTACATATAGTACCACCTCAGGTAGAAGCTACCTTCCATGGAATTTTGCCCAAGGTTAGACTTGTCCCTGTTCTGCTTCCCATATCGCTTTACTGGTCTCTCTAAGAGAACTTCCTTAATAATTCACTTGCATACAAATCTTCACCTTCGAGTCTATTTCTGAAGAACCCAACAGAAGTTAGTATCTCTAACCTCTGCCATCTTCCTCTGCCCAGCTTCCTGTGTTCTATATAGAAGAAAAGCTGAAGACTCAGACGTGCTTAGATACCATGTCTTCTGAAAACGCGGAGGACAGGCACAAAGGCATGCTCTATAGGCTGCCTTGTGCTTCATTAGTGGCTCATCCTCAGGCTGAGCTGGGCTCTGCGTGGTTGGTTATCAGCCAGCTATGTAAAGTGGCACTTCAGTTTCAGCTTCCTGCCTTGGTCATTTCAATGCAATTGTCACTCCAGCAGCTGCAGATGTAGTATGAGCAGCCTTGGAGACTTGACGTTTCTTGTAGATTATGCAGTTGAGAAGGTGAAACGTGAGTTACAGGGACTGATTTCCCTAGTAATAGGGGATCAGAATTACTGACATACTTAATAATTCAGAAATACTGACATACTTCTGCACTAGGAGTGCCAGAAAGGCATGGTGCCTTATTGCTTATTGACTCTGTTAGTGAAGGTTCCTCAATATCTATCTTTGCATGGGTTAGGTCCTACAGTGCTAAGCCAGTGAGGAGGCTGGTGCAGAGAAAGGACTCAAGATGCCAAACATACTGTAGTTTCACAGTATAACTTCCATTTTACTTCATGGTATGGGATTATTTATTAGCTGTAAATCATTATCCTTCTGAAAGGCATGTCAGGTAGTTAGACAAGAAGGTTTTATCAGTATGAATTGCCTTTCAAGCCTTCCCAAGGTGTGCTATGGGACATCTGAAAATCAACAGCAAGCTTAAGTGGTTTCCCAAGGAAATATTCTCTTATTCTGCCTTCAGGCAGAGAGTAAATGTATGTTCCTTAGGAATTATACCTAGATTAAAGGCTCTCTTTCTTTTTTGGCAGACTTTTGTCTGTAATTCCTTACTCCATGTTACACGTGTAAATGCACTGGGAGTCTCTTCCTTGCTCCGACGGAAAGTGGACCTCTCTTTTTTTCAGAAAGCAGAAGGTAGTGGGTGTCATCTGCTTATTTCACATCCCTGCTCAGATAGTCTCAGTGGTTCCCTACTGCTTTTGGATATGGCTTGAATAAATACCCTCACCCTGGCACTCAGTGTTCTGTTGAATGGCCCAGCCTACTGTAACAGCAAAAGATGTTAGTTCTCTACGCATCCCCATTTTCTTGCAAACAGGGCTCCCCATTGCTTTCACTCCCACCAGCCAACCCCTGCCAATTATTGTAGGAGGGGAGCCCTCGGGCTGCTAGAGAAGGCTTGGTTTGCAGGCCAGAAAAGCCAACATAGCCTGGGTATTTAAGTCTCCTGGGGGTGAGCAGATTCTTGATCAATGACTGGTGGATTAGGAGCATCAATACTCCCACGTTCTTGCCTCTGATTAGAACAGCTCTGAAGCTTGATCTGTCACATCTCCAGAGTACCCCTATGGGACTTAACAAAAGTTACTCTCCATGGAACTTTGCCTGAAATCACATCCTTAAACCTCCTTCACTTTCAGTCCCCCTTCCCCAGTACCCTTCCTAGTAAAATACTATAACTTAAATTAGTGCCTTAGCATCTTCTGGGAAACCCCGAGTTGACACCTTATTTCCATCCTCCTTGCTACTACCTCCCTGTACACACTCCCCTGATCACATTTGACTTTCTGTCAGTCCCTAAACATATTCTACACAGCCCCCATCATATTTTGCTCTTACTGCTTTCTCAACGTGGACTAACCTTCCCAATCCATCTTCATCTGTCATCATGTCTCCCATTCTTTAAGGACCAAGCAAGAGCCACCTGTTTTTCCCAATCCGGATTAATCTCTCTCTTCCCATAATAGTTTCTTTTTACTTGTGTTGGAATAACTGTCACCATTGAACTTTCTGTAGAGTCGAAACATCTTACATTGAACTTTCTGTATAGTAGAAACCCTCTTCCCCTAGAAATTACCACCAATAGTAGGTCAGTTAATAGACAACATCACAGAAATCACCCACATACAAACACACACACTCAATGCATTTCTTTTATTTTTAATTATTTTGAACTAACACATAAAAATTGTATATAGTTATCATGTAAAATGTGGTTTTTAAATATGCGTATATTATGGAATGGCTACATCAATCTAGTTAACATATACATTACTTCACATAGCATACGTTTTTATGGTCAGAACACATAAAATTTGCTTTCTTAGCAATTTTCAAGAATACAAAGCATTGTTATTATTAATAACTATGGTCACCATGTTGTAAAAGAGATTCTTCAAATTTATTCCTCCTATCTAGCTGACATTTTATTTTGTTTGGCCAACATCTCCCCCAGTTCTGCCCACCCCCAGCCCCTGATAACCACCACTCTACTCTCTGCTTCTATTAATTCAACTATTTTAGATTCCACTATTTTAGATTTACATCTATTTTAGATATAAGTGAGATCATGCAGTGTTCATCTTTCTGTGCCTGGCTTATTTTAATTAACATAATGTCCTCCAGATTTATCCACGTTGTTGCAAATGCACATGACAAGATTTTATTTTTTAAGGCTGAATAGTATTTCATTGTGTATATATACCATATTTTCTTTATCACTTCATCCATTGATAGACAATTAGGTTGTTTCTATATGTTGGCTATTGTGAATCATGCTGCAATGAGCATGGAAGTGCAGAGATCTCTTTAAGATACTTATTTCATTTTATTTGGCTATATACCCTGTAGTGGGATTGCTAGATCATATATACGGTGATTCTATGACACTCACTGTATTTAGTCCTTTTGATAGTAGCCATTCTAACAGGTATAAGATATTAGCTCATTGCGATTTTAATTTGCATTTCCCTGGTGATTAGCGATGCTGAGCATTTTGTCATACACTTGTTGGCAATTTGTATGTCTTCTTTTGAGAGATGTCTATTAAGATCCTTTGCCCGTTATTTAATTGGATTATTTGTTTTCTTACTATTGAATTGCTTGAGTTCTTTATGTATTTTGGATATTAAATTATTTAACTTAAACTATATCAGATGTATGATTTGCAACTATTTTCTCTCATTCTGCAGATTGTCTATTCACTCTGTCGATTGTTTTGTTTGCTCTGCAGAAGTTCAGTTTGAGGCAGTCCTATTTGCCTATTTTTGCTTTTGTTTCTTGTGCTTTTAGGGTCATATAAAAAAAATTTCCCAGACTTATGTTATGGAGCTTTTTCCCTATGTTTTTCCTAGTGGTTTTACAGTTTCAGGTCTCATGCTTAAGTCTTTAATCCACTTTGAGTTGATTTTTGTATATGGTGTGAGATAAGGGTCCAATTTCAATCTTCTGCATGTGGATGTTCAGTTGTCCCAACACTGTTTACTAAAGAGACTGTCCTTTCCCCATTGTGTATTTTTGGCACTTTTGTTGATAATCAATTGACCATAAATTTATTTCTGGACTCTCTATTCTGTTCCATTGGTGTTATGTATCTGTTCTTATGCCAGTACCATGCTGTTTTGATTACTACAGCTTCCCAATGCATTTCTTAAACATTTATTTTTAACTTAAACCAAATAAATGTACATTCATTCACAAGTCTTCTAATACAGGGACAATTAATTTTGTTTGAATTTCATTCAGTAAGTAAAATTCTGCCATATATTCCTTGCATAAATTCTCCTCCTAATGCATCATCATCAGCAGATTCAAATTTGAGTTTTTTTCTCGAATGAAACAAGAACATAAGAATACTTTCAAAGTAAACTAAATGCAAATTCTTCTCAAAAATTTATGATTTTTTCTAACCTTTCATAGATTCAAGCCCACATATAATCCAACAGCAACTTTGTTTTCAAATCTTTAGTTCTTCTAAAGTATTCAACGGAATTGTTATAGTAGCAGCTGTCTTTTGCACTCATCAATTTATGTGACATTAAACTATATAATTACAATCACAAATATGCCTGGCCTAAAGAGTTTGGGGGACTAACTAACGCAGCTGACTCTCAGTGTGCATACAATTCAACTGATGGGAGTAGATGCATATTCTTTGCAGGAAGGATTCTGCTATTCACTAGGGATGAAGAACACTAATTAAACCGATGAGTCAGTTAACTAAGTGTGAATTAATAGATCCTGCTACTGCAAATATGTCTACTACATAGACTGAAAACTCACTGAAAGCAGGGTCTGTCTTATGTGTCCCCACAGCACTTAGCAAAGTGCCTTATAAAAATGTAAGCATTCCATATGTGTTGGTAGAGTTGAATTGAATATGATTGGATTCTGCTAACTTTTTCTAAGTAATAGTTGGTTGGATAATGACAATGGTGTTAAGCCAGGAGAGGGTGTTGCTTAGGAATTTCCTGGCAAAGTATAAGTATCAAAAATACCCTAAGACATTAGACATGTGCAGACTGCAATATGACTCTCCACTTTAATTTTTTGTATGTGATTATAATGCTACAAGCTTCATCATTATTGTGTTCTCCTTTCATAAGACTTGAGGTCTATATTTATACGGGGTCAACAGTATATTTTAAGCTAAAAACCAATGGAATGTTGGTAAATCCCAATAATGCATGTTTTTGATCTCTAGTAGCACACTGTATATTAGTATGTGATTCCTACACATATCACTTTTTCCTACCCGAAGATCTCACTCAAAAAGCCAACACAGCCTGCTCTGGTTAACTATTGATGTATACCGAACTACCTTAAACCTTCGTGGCTTACAGCAAGAATTTATTCTCTCTCATGATTCTGTGGGTTAACTAGGCTCATCTAGGTAGTTCTCACTTAGGGTTTATCGTGCCACTGCAGCCAGATGGTTGACTGAGGCTGATGTCATCGAAAATCTCAACTGCGTTGATTGTTCGAATTGACTCACTTCCATGTCTTACACATGATGTTGACTGCTGGCTGGAAACTCAGCTAGGCCTGCCAGCTGGAGCACCTACGTGCGGCTTGTCTCTGTGGCTTGGGCTCTCTTAGCGTGGATTCCCAGAGGAAGCATTCAGAAATATCCATTCCAAGAAAGAAAGTAGAAGCTGTCGATCTTAAGACCTGGACCCCAAAACTGGCACATTGTCACTTCTGCCATATTCTATAATACTAGTCAAAGCAATCAAAGAGCCCACTCAGACCCAAGGAGAGGTCACAAATACCCCATCTCTCATTGATGACAGTACCAAAAAAGTGGTAACCATCTTTAATCTGTCATAACATCCATTATTATTTTCTACTTATGATACTCACCTAAACTAAAATTTACTGAGATTGTCAAAACAAAAAGAAGAGTCCAGTTACAAGGAACTTGATCTAAAATAATAAGATTAAATATTAGATGGATAGTCTATTTTACCATATATTCTCATTTTTGCCCCCGGTAAGAAGGTTGAATAAAATATTTCAAGCATTTTTCCCACCCTTACTAGTAAGTTTTACTATCACCAGCAGGAAAGAAAAGGGAAAGTCAGGCAAGGATTCCTTTTCTTTTTAATAGTCTCAGTATGTTTAATTTTTTTTTTTTTTTTTACTATTTATTTGCTTATTTATGCCAAGTCTTGAACAGTCTCTGGCTTAGCTATGAGTGGGCTAGGTTTCTGAACTCTCATTCTGCCCTCTCTGAGAGAGCAGTTCTCTGCTCTTGACTCAGAAGTCAGATCTCTAAAGGAAAACCTTGACAAAAGTTTCCTTTCCTGCTCTACCTGTGAAAGAACTCAAAGTTCAGTTGACTCAATGGCAAGTGGGAGACCTATAGAACAGAGGTTCTGGGTGCATGTGCACATTGATTTTCTTTAATTTGAACTTTATATTTTGAGATGATTGTAAATCTACATGCAGTTATAAGAAATACTACAGAGAGATCCCATGTACTTATTACTTGATTTTCCCCAATGGTAACCTATAGCAAAGCTGTACTATAATATCAAACCAGGTTTTGCTTAATTTTTTAAAGGCAGGGCCTCACTCTGGCATCCAGGCTGGAGTACAGTGTCAAAATCATAGCTCATTATAATCTCAAATTTCTG